GCCTATGGGATGGGCCACGCCCCCTTTTACAAACTCGCTTATAAGTAGGGTAGAAGGGGGAGGCTTCGACATGAGGGAGGCTTCGACTTTTTCAAATCTGGCAGTCGTTATTACTGCCGTTGTTCTCATTCCTAGAACAAACAGTTACCAAATTGACTGTGATGCTGTCATGAAAACTATTCAGTGCTTGTTGGCAGACGATAGTGTGCAGACGTATTTTTTATTTTTGAAGTGTGTTCATGTAAAAATTGTATGTAAGTATTCTTGTGTAAAGTGTGCAATCTATAACGTATTCGTTCCGTTTTTTCCCCATTAATATTTTAATAAAATTGTGTTTTGTTGGTTCTAAAGATATTTCAAGTAACAATAAGATGTATTTCTTTAAAGAGAAAAAATTTGGCATAAGTGCAAAAGGGAGGATCCGACAACCTCTTTTGGGAGGTTTCGACAAATTGTCGAAGCCTCCCTTCTGTTCTTTTTCACTTAGCAAGCAATATTTTACAGCTATCAAGATGCCAAATATTTATAAAAAAAAGTTTCCGGAGAAAATCATCGACGAAGATAATATGAAAAAAGCCATCGAGGACATAAAACAAAAGAAAGAAACACCAACAAGCGCTGCTCGAAAATATGGCTTGAAGCGTACAACACTATTATCTCGAATTGCAAAAGAGCAAACAAATGTGGGAACTGCTAAATATTTCCAGTCGAAGTTTTCTTCGAACCAAGTACTTACAGCTACGCAAGAAAAGGAATTAACGCTTTACTTCAAAAAGTGTTCAAATCTACATCATGGATTGACGTATGACTTGGCTAGACGGTTCGTTTTCGAGTTTGTTTCTACATACAAAATAAAACATCCACCAAGTTGGGACAAAGAAAAACAAGCTGGAATTGATTGGCTAAAATGTTTTATGCATCGAAATAAAGAAATTAGTCTACGCAAACCTGAAAACACTAGCATATCACGCATTTTTGGATTTTCTAACCAAGCTGTTTCTTTATTTTTTTCAAACCTGAAAAAGGTATACGAATTACACCACTTTCCCTCTGAGCGAATATACAACATAGATGAGACTGGAATAAGTACGGTGTTGGATTCTCCAAAAGTAAGCCTTGTTCCGATTTGTTGTTGCAAATAAACTTCATGTAAGTATATACAAATTTACAGGTCATAGCTGAAAAAGGAAAACGAACCGTTTCTCAAGCCGCATCCGCAGAGCGGGGAAGTTTAGTTACAATGGTAGGAATTGTTAACGCATCTGGAAATCACATTCCACCGATCTACGTTTTTCCTCGCAAGCGAATGAATCCAAATTTTCTTAACGGATCAGTACCAGGCTCAATAGCACTTCTAGCCAACAACGGATGGATGAACTCGGAGCTTTTTATAGATGTTCTTATCCATATTAGAAGTCACGCTCGTTGCACTATCGACGACCCCATACTACTTTTGATGGACAACCATGCTTCTCATTGCAGTCTAGATAGCGTCATTTACAGTCGCGATAACGGCATATGCTTATTGTCTTTCCCACCGCATACGTCACACAAACTTCAACCACTTGATGTATCGGTGTTTGGACCTTTCAAGAAATTTTGCAAACATTCCTTTAATGATTTTACAGTCAACAATCCAGGAAAGAAAATCGAGATTTCACTTATTGCAGAACTTACGAGGACTCCATTTTTACGAGCTTTTTCTCCAGATAATATTGTAAAAGGGTTTTCAGCTACTGGAATCCTTCCATATAATTCATTAATATTTCCTCAGTCTGATTTTTCCCAGTCCGAAATCGAAACAAACTCTGAGATTGCTATTGAAACTAACCAAAATCAAGCCGAAAGTTTTGAGAATATAATCCTACCATCTGAACCGAATTGTTTCTCTCCAGAGGTTATCCGTCCACTTCCAATAGTGAGGAAAAAGAGAACTATTACTAAAAATCAAGGCAAGTCAAGAATTTATACGGATTCTCCAGAAAAAGCACGCTTGGAGGAGTTGAAAGAACAAAGCATAAAAAAATTGAAGCTACCAAAAAAGCTAAAATTTTGTAAAAAAACAAAAACATTGCGAAAACTAAAAACTAAAAAACAACGAAAGATAAGTTCCTCATCATCAAGTGAAAACGGTTCTTATAGCCTGGCTGATTCTGATAAATCATATGACTTTGGTGAGGTTGAAGAGCACAACAATGAGCAACCAGAATTGGAGGTTACTGACGGAATTCATGTTCAGAACGAAGAGCACGAGAATGAGCAACCAGCGTTGGAGGTTACCAACGGAATGCATATTGAGGAAAATAGATTTGTGCTAGTTAAATTTACTGACAAAACCGATTTCTTTTACATTGGTGTAGTCGTAGAAGTTGAAAGTACTACGTGCGTCGTGAAATTTCTCAGGCGCCAAAGTAAAACTCAATATTTCTATGAACCAATTGTTGAAGATACAAACCTGGTTTCAAAGCAGGACATATTACGTATATTGCCCACACCTGAACATCCACCAGGAACTTCACGCGCGCAAAGCAAATTTGTTTTTAACTTCGACTTCTCAAATTTAGATGTTCGTTAAAAGTAAAGTTATACTTCATTTTTATGCTTAAGTTGTTTATGTTTTTGTTCGAAAAAATTGTTATTGTATTGAAATAAATAACATTTATGAATTGAAAATCGTATTCAGAGTTTTTTCCAACGAAGTCTTTTTCTATTTTGCATGTTTAACTGCCATGTTTGATAAATGTCGAAACCTCCCACCCAATGTCAAAGCCACCCAGATGATTGGCGAAGCCTCCCGGAAAATGGGAGGTTTCGTCACATATTTTGTTCCTAATTATTTGATTAGAACTTTGAAATAAAATTAAGTAGTACATTAACGACCAATCTGAAGTGTCACAAACATACATGGCATCAGTAATTGTGAAAGGAGATGTTTGTTTCTTATTCTACTTTCTCTAAAAAAAACATTTTATCTTAACCTGTCGAAGCCTCCCCCTTCTACCCTACTCTTCTACAAGCACCTACCATTGATAGGTCTGCATACCAAATTT